ATTAAATAAGTTAAATTTAAAATCCAAAGACTTTCCATGAAGAAAACTCCATGTTTAAATGGCTCCCTAATGACCTGCATCAAATATTGAAGGAGGAAATAATATTCTAAAATTTCTTTTGGGAATTAGGAGGGAACAAGTGCCATTTTGTTTAATGACATCAGCATAATCTGGATATCATAATTTATATTTAAGTGTATTATTAAGTATAATGTAGAAAAATATACGCAAATAATATATCGTGTTCAAGTGGGGTATATTCCATACATGAAAGGTTATTTTAACACCTGAAAACAATTAAAGTAACTGAATTAATGGAATAAAGGACAAAGACTACACAGCAATATTAATTGATACAGCTAAAAGTGTGACTAAATTTAATACCTATCAATGATGAAGTAAACAAACAAAATCCAAGTCTTTCATTCCAAATGGGAACAATCTAAACTTGATACAAACTATCTAAGGAAACCTATAGGAAACATCCCATTTAATATTGAAAGAATGAACAATTTCCCCTGCAATCTGAAAAAAGACAAAGCTATCTACTTTTGCTACTTCTATTGAATGCTAAACTGGATTTCAGTAAGACAAAAACAACAACAAAATAAATGTACATGTTGAATATATTTTTCAAAAGTTATAATAAGACTGAGATAAGCAATGCAAACTGGAAAAGAATAAATATTATCCTTATTCATGGACAAGATAGTGTACACAAAGAATTCTAGAGGATGTAAAAAAATCTAGAGAATGATTAAATTTATCAAAGCTATTTGCAGAGTAATAAAAAGTGAAAATTAAATTTGAAAATATGGTGTCATTTACAACCAAACATAAAACATGAAATACATAAGGATACATTTTACAAAATATGTGCTAGACTTGCACAAAGAAAACTGTAAAATAGTAAGGGTTGAAACCAAGCATAATTTTAAGTTAATGGGAACAATAACCATATCATATCCATAGTTGGAAAGCCTTAATCATTTATAACATCAATCACTCCAAATTAACCTGTATATTCAATCCAATTGCAATCAAAATTTCAGCAAATTTTTGCAGAAATTGAAGCACTTTACAAATTTAAAAGGAAACGTGAAACACCTAGAATAGCCAACACAACTTTGAAATACAATATAAAAGACAAGACTCACATTACTCTCAAGACTTCTCTGAAAGTACAATAATAAACCAGTGTGGATCTGGTATCAGGACAGGTAAGTCAAACAGGAATACTACAGAAACCAGAGACCGGAAGCCATTCTGCACATATGTAGCTAATTGTTTAAAATATGTGATAGTGTAGCTCAAAGGTGCTGGGACAACTAAATATCTTTGCTGAGACTATAAATTAAAATTTTTATCATTTCAATGTTTTCCAGCCACCATCCTATGGACCAAACCACATCTTCAGGGTCTTCTCTGTTACTCTTCTGATCTCTGTTAGGGGCAATTGTAAACAAATAGGATATGACAGTGAAAAAGAAACTAATGCCACATACACAGTATCCAAAATATATAGATATAGATATGTAACACCCAAAGTTGTTCTAACCACAGCTGAAACAGAAACTTTTATAATCACAAATACACACGGAGCTCAGGACATGGTGCAAGTGTTTATCATCAAAACACCTGTCAGTTCTAGTGTCTTTTCTTCTTCCTTTTGTAGGTCTTGTCCCCTTGCACATCTCTTCTCATCCCCCTTTTGCAAAGGTCAAGCCCCATCCCAGCATCCATGATGCCAGATCCTTCAACAACTGGTCGGTGACTGGCAGGTATTTGGGTCAGCAGAGTATTATGTTTTAATCTGGGCTTCACTTCATATTCCAACTTCCTGATAATGCACACGCTGGGAAGACAGTAATAATGGCTCAAGTACTTGGGTCCTTTCCACCCATGTCGGGTACCTGGATAGAGTTCTAAGCTCCTGGCTTCAGTTCCTGGCCCATCCCCATCTGTTGGGGGCATTTGGAAAGTAAACCAGTGGTTGCCAAATATCTCTATCCTTCTGTGTGTGTCTCTACCTTTCAAATAAAATGAAAATATTTATAATCATTCATATATTTATTTGAAAGGCAGAGTGACAGAGCAAATAGGACAGACAGAGATGGACAGAGATATTCCATCCACTGGTTCACTCCCCAAATGGTGGCAATGGCTGGTGATGTGCCAGGCCCAATCCAGAAGTCTGGAACTCCATCCAGGTCTCCCAACATGGGTGGTAGGGAACCAGGTACTTGGGCCATCATCCACTCTTCTCCCAGGCATACAAGCAGAGAGTTGCATCAGAAATGGAGTAGCTGGGACACAAACAAGTGTTCTGATATGAGATGTTAGTGTCACAAGCGGTAGCTTAACTCACTACACCACAACACTGGCCCCTAAGATGAAAATTTTAAATAGGCTGGTCAATGCTGGATGGAGGAGAGTTTAGATCCTTCTTCATACTAAAACATCATGATAAATTATTAATAGCAAAACCAGAAAAACAAACTTCACTGTTGTTGGTATTTGCTTTATAGTGTAATTGCAATGTGCTGTCTTGCTAACAGTGTCCCTGTACCTCTGTCCATCATATCAATTAGCCTCTCCTAAAAGCAGTCACATATGTGTGCATTTGGAGTAAAATCCACTTCTATTTCACTTACTTTTTTATTCCTTCCCCAAATGTTTGCCAATGGGAAAGGAATTGGCAGTCTCCAGCCCTAAAGGAAGAGATGAGAAGAATAACAGAAAGGAACAGCCTTCACCAGGAGGAGAAACATTCTTTTTTCAGGTACAGAAAGATAGAATAGAGCAAAGATAAATCACAAGAATATGTGCTGCATAGTGATATCACCACCAAGTAATAATGATGAGGTGCACAAAGTCTATATCCAAAATGCCTAGATTTGGATGCTGAATATTAATCCTTGCCGTTGTGACTTTGTGCAAGAGACCTAAAATCGGGACCTGCGCTTTGGCATAGTGAGTAGAGCCACCATCTGCAGTCTGGCATCCTATATGGGCACCGGTTTGAGTCCTGACTTCCATTTCTGATCCAGCTCTCTGCTATGGCCTGGGAAAGCAGTAGCAGATGGCCCAAGCCCATGGGCCCCTGTACCCACGTGGGAGACCCACAAGAAGCTCCTGGCTTCAGATCAGTGCAGCTCCAATCATTACGGCCTATTGCGGAGTGAACCCGTGGACGGAAGACCTCTATCTCTCTGCCTCTCCTTCTCTCTCTGTAACCCTGACTTTTCAAGTAAAAATAAATAAATCTTAAACAAAGAGACCTAAATCTATGTCTCATTTTTCTCATTAATGAAATGTTGGCCATGATAATATACTCCTCACAGGGTTTACTGAAGACTAAACAAAAAAATGTAAATACCATAGAAACGTTCATGATACATGGTAGATGTACAGCAAAAGCTAAGTACATATTACTTTTGAGTTGTAGCCAAGTGAAGTAGAAATAATTCACATCTTACAATCTTAATCTCAATAGCAGGAAGTTCAGGTGTCGCTCAAAGCAATCAGAGCAGAGGGAAGTCATCTATGGACGTTCACTGGGGCACTGGTTTTCAGCCCTGGATGTCCCATTAAAATTTCATGGGGACATTTGAAGAAATTCTGACATTTAGGATCCAACAAAGAAGAATAAAATCAAAATGCCTGGGAGACTGACCTCCATATGAGTTCAGTCATTTAAAAACTTCGGAGATTAAAGCAACCACAGCTGAGAGTCAAGAACAGGAAAATAATATGTGAGAAGTTATCAGGAGGAAAAAAAGGCATTTACGGTTATCCTAGTCTTCTTTTCTTCATTAATTTCTCTTTAATTTCAGCAATTCCTGAGTGAAATGTCATGGAAATGGGAATAACAGAAAGAGAAAGAACACATATCTGTGGCTCAGATTGAGAGAGAATACAGAACTCAGAGCCCAGCTGGGTGAAAAAGACCAAGAATAAGATGATGTACTCTGCAAATAGATACAGACAAAGGCTGTGGATGACATAAGGCCATGAAGCTAGTCCTTCCAGAGTGGGGGAATGGGAGTGATTAGAAAATGGCACGCAGAGGGAAATCTCAGAACTATGAAAAGGAGTTTTAAATGAATCCTCAACACTGGGACTAAAACAGATTGTAAATAAATACGAAGGTGGTTGGAGGAAGTAAGCTGTAAATTCCTGAAGAATGATAGTTTGTGAAAGAGGCAAGAAAATGAGTTAAAGTCACTGAGGATAGAAGGTAAAGCTGATTTCTTCTGTATACTAGTAAGAAAACAGGAAGTCCAAATACCCTGCCTGTGCATTACAAGATAATGAATGTAAAAATAATCTCCAAATGGTTAAACACTATCCAGCGATAAGCTATCTACAGATGATTCATCTACCAAAACATGCATTAGCCAGTCCAGAACAAAGGCACGATTTTCTGTAAGCTTTATGTATCTGAATATGTTTAAGCTTGGGGGAAAAAAAATACAGTTATTTTACCAATGTGTCAACATAAAAAATTTTAAATTTAAACACACCATTTCTCTCCTCATACAAGAATTGAAATTAAAGTTTCTAAAATCAAAAGCCTTCTGCAGACATTGCTGATATTTTAAGAACTGGAATTGATCATTCCCGAATGATACCAAAGTCTATCCACGCCCATAACCCTTCTCCTAGTCAAGAAACATGACTTTCTTGTTCTGTCCTATTTTTTTCAAGGATTTATTTATTTGAAAGGTAAAATTCCAAGGAGGTGGAAAGAGAGAGAATCCTCCATCCTTTAGTTACAAAGAGAACAAATAAAACAAAGCAAAGCAAAACAAAACAAAAAGTCTTCCTCCTACCAGCAGAGCGCGCTGGTGCCATGCGCCATAAATTCCCGAGGCTGCAGGCGCAACGAGTCAGGCGCACTGGTGATGTCCCTGTTGGGCTCCCGTAGTCGACCCGATTTCGTGGAGTAAAGGAACAGCGCGGGGATTTGCGCTGAGCGATCGTGCGCGCGACCGGCCAGACGGAAGCGGAAGTGTCGGCGGCGCGCAAGTAGGAAGTGGTGATAGCCTAGAGTGGAGATGGCTGCGCTGGCTCCGCTGCCCCCGCTCCCCCCACAGTTTAAGAGCATACAGCATCACCTGAGGACGGCTCAGGAGCATGACAAGCGGGACCCGGTGGTGGCCTATTACTGTGAGTCTTTTCGAGTCGCCGCGCCCCCCCTTACTCAGTTACGTTCCGGGGCCCTCCCACCGCCCCTGGGTGTTTGGGGCATGCCACGCCTCCCGACTTTAGACTTGAGCTTCGACCTCTGGGCCTCCCTGCGAACGCCGGGGATCCCCGCAGTCTTCGGGGCGCCAAACATTTTCACAGAGCCCAGGAAGGCAAAAAAAAAAAAAAATCCTCAAAGCACCTTGAGTTAGTTAAATGCCCCAGAAGTGACTGCATGGGCTCTGGAACGCGAACACACTTCCCCGAGGTTGTCTGTGTCCACACCGGAGAGCCTTCTGTCTCTGGCAAATAACCCGGGTAGGGCAGTAATTGAGTCTGGGGTTAAACGCAGGTGAGTGCCTCTAAGGGAGTAGTGATGTGGACAAAAGGAAGACGGATCGGTTGGAAACGTGGTAACATGCACAGGCTGCAAGCCCGTTCGGAAGCGGATAAATGGTTCAATGGAGAGTTTCTGTTACTAACCTGTCAGGACTTTAATACCTGCAGTTGAGACCTTCAGTAGCAACGTGCCGACTTCTGTTGTGATACACAGAAGATTGTCCAGACGTCTTCTAAACGGTGATAAGAGGAGTGGTTCCCGTAATTTCACGTAAATTTTTCATATCCCATACTGTACCTTCAGTGCAATTAAAACAGGTGACCAAGCACCTGTCAATCTGCTGAGAAGGGTTTGGTTTGGTTTTAGTGGAGCTCAGTACTGTATGTCCTCTGTTGTGGGCGTTGTTAGGTTAGCTACAACCTGCTCCACTTCATCCCTGCCATACTCCACACCTCATTTTTAAAATGCAAGACCCCCTGCCCAACCACCATGTTCTCCACTCTCTTGCAACATCGACCTTTTTTCTGTGCTTGGAAAACTCTTGAGTCAAAATCTAAATTCAAATATCTCCTCTTCTGTAGTCAGTCAGTTGATCATTCTCTGTGGATTTCTCTCGTGTCGTTCAAATCTTAGAGAATTATTCCTATTATATTTGTTCTTCAAGTTCCTTAAGCAGGGACCATTAATCATTCAAAATGTATTATTGAGTTTCTGCCTTGTGTCAAATCACTGGGCACTTTTGCCATAATTCCTGTAGTCTTTGATCTTACATATAATAACATGAGCATGGATAGAATGTTAGGTTATGGAGAAAAATACAGCAAGGGAAGAGAATAAGGAATACCAGGAATGATGGTAGGGAGTGCAAAGGGTATTTCAATTTCCAAGTGTTTGGAGAACAATTCACTGAGTTCGCTGGAAGAAAGGCATGAAAGGCAGGCCTTGCTGTGTGTGTGAAAGGAGGAGCAGGGGAGCTTTTGTGACTGAATTGGATATCAAGAGGGGGAAACTCAGTGTGACATGGACAAAGAGGTAATCTCTCTTAACAGTGGAATAGGACCCCTTGTTCCTGTCTAAAACTAATCCCTATTCATGAACTATATTATAAGCTTTTGTGACTGCCCAAGGGACCCTTTATTTCCTATGTTAGTATTGTCTCCTAGTTCTTTCCAAGGTGTCCCACTTTGCTGTCTACCGAACCTTGTAGATTGAAATAGTTGTCTGTGGTTGTCTTTACATCCTTATCAATAAAGGTTTTTTCAACCCAATTCAGAGTAGTGTTGATGCCCAATATTTTACTGAAATTACTCTCACCAGGGTTATGAACAAACGTTTTAATCACAAAGTCTAGACTTAATGAAAATTTTGTTATCAAACAGATGCATATAAAAGAATATATGTCATGTGCATGTAGAGTTTAAGGAATAATGGACAGTAATGTTCCCACTATATTTGATAGGTTTTTAGATTTTGTAATTCTGCCTGCCTGCTGGGTGTGAAATGATGTCTCCTTGGAGCAGAAATTTACAATTCTGAGTCTTAATAAGGGTGAACATCTTTTCATATGTTAATTAACCATTTGTGACCCCCCCTTTGAAATGCCTGTTTATTGCTTTTGTCTGTTTTGTATTGCCCTTTTTTTTTATTAATAACGTAGATACTAATTCTGCTTTATATGTGTTGGAGATGTCTTCTAGTTCGAAGTTTGGTTTTTTACTCTATTTAAGGAGTCCTGTATTCAAAAGTAGTTAATTTTAAAATATAGCCAACTTCTCTATTTCTTCCTTTATGGTTTACATTCTGATTTCCTAGGCCTTTTTCTCTTTTTGTATACTTTTTGGGACTTTGGATTCTGAATATCTCAATGGATTTCGTATTAGTAGCTTTTCACTACTATAATAAATTACCTGAGGCAGCCTAACTCTATAAAAGAAAAAAACTGTGTTTTTTTTCTTTTCATAGTTTTGGAGGTTCACAATTCAAGATCCTAGGTTTGGCCTGTTTCCAAGGCTTTCCTGCTGGCAGGAGTCCTGAGGTGATGTGGAGCATCATAAAACAAGAGGGTGCATGTATGTCTGTGTCTCTGCCTCATCTAAAGCTGCCAGGATTCAATTATGAGGACTTCACCCCAGTGACCCAATCCAATCCAATTACTGCCAAATGCCTCACTTCCAGCTTTATAATTGGGTTAAGTTGGTGCATTCTCAGTGCCAGTAAGACTCTGAAGTTTAGCCTACTATATGAGTTTGGGGGCCAAAATATGTTCCAGCTAGCAGGTATCTCCTCAGTTCTGGAAAGTTCTCTGTTATAATCTGATCACATAATGCTTCTGTTTTATTATCTCTGTTTCCTTATAAATTTTGATTAACATAGCATTTTTCATTCCCATGTCTCTTAATTCTTTCATGTTTTTTACTTTTTGTCTCTGGTATATCCCATGAGTTTTTGAGGCCTATTTCCACATCCATATATCCTATTGTTTAACCCACTTATTGAATTTTTCTCTTTTGTTTTTAAATGCCACTATATTTGTTTTCAAATTGGCCTAGTTATTTCTGATACTTTCTTATTACTGGTGATATTTTTAATCACTTTTTTATTGAAACACTTTTAATGTGTTCATTTATACTTGCTGTCTGATCATTTCCATAGCTACTATATTTATGGGTCTGATTCTACTGGTCAATAAAATACCATTTATAGGAACTTCTTTCCTTATAGTTGTGTGCTAAGCATAGGAAATCAGTGCTCTTCAGACTGGGCTCCAGTAATTTAAAAGGAATCAGGGGCCGGTGCCGCGGCTCAATAGACTAATCCTCCGCCTTGCGGCGCCAGCACCCCGGGTTCTAGTCCCAGTCGGGGCGCCGGATTCTGTCCCGGTTGCCCCTCTTCCAGGCCAGCCCTCTGCTATGGCCAGGGAGTGCAGTGGAGGATGGCCCAAGTGCTTGGGCCCTGCAACTGCATGGGAAACCAGGAGAAGTACCTGGCTCCTGGCTTTGGAGCAGCGCGATGTGCCAGCCGCAGCACGCTGGCCGCGGCGGCCATTGGAGGGTGAACCAACGGCAAAAGGAAAACCTTTCTCTCTGTCTCTCTCTCTCTCTCACTGTCCACTCTGCCTATCAAAAAAAAAAAAAAAAAAAAAAAGGAATAAAAAGGAATCTGTCCCAGTGTCCCACTTTTAAATTTCGATGCTTTGTTTCCTAAAATTGATCTTCTTGACAAAACTCCTGTGGTAAGAATAGCAAAGTAGTCTTTTGCCATTTCCTGTTCACAATTGCCCTTTTCCTTTAAAGAAAGCATATATTCAAACATGATCACTTTTTTTTTTTTTAAGATTTATTTATTTATTTGTAAGTCAGAGTTACACAAAGAGAGGAAGAAGCAGAAAGAGAGAGAGGTCTTCCATCCACTGGTTCACTCTGCAATTGGCCGCAACCGCCGGAGCTGGATCGATCCAAAGCCAGGATCCAGGAGCTTCTTCTGGGTCTCCCACGTGGGTGCAGGGGCCCAAGGACTTGGGCCATTTTCTGCCAATTTCCCAGGCTATAGCAGAGAGCTGGATTGGAAGTAGAGCAGCTGGGTCTTGAACCAGCACCCATATAGGATACCAGCACTTCAGGCCAGGGCGTTAACCCACTGCGCCACAGTGCTGGCCCCAAACATGATCACTTTTATGGTGTATTGCCCCTTTCAGGAGTGAAGAAGGAAAATCTTCCAGGATGTCCAGAAAAAGAGACTATTCAAATGATTACTATTTGGGAAGCATGCATTTTTAGCCAGAGCTTCCTGTCTCTTCTTGTCTTTTAGGAAATAAAATCAAACAGAGCAGACATTAAGCCTTTATTAATTTTTTTTTAAAGATTTATTTTGTTTATTTGAACAACTGAGTGACAGAGGTAGAACCAGAGAGAGTTCTTCTATCCACTGGTTCACTCCCTAAATGGCCACAATGGCTGGAGCTGCAGTGATCCAAAGCCAGGAGCCAAGAGCTTCTTCCAGGTCTCCCACATGGGCACAGGGGCCCAAGGACCTGGGCCATCTTCACTGCCTTCCTAGGTCAAAGCAGGGAGCTGACTAGGAAGTGGAGCAGCCAGGACTCTTAACTGGTGCCCACATGGGATGGTGGCTGCAGGCCGGGGCTTTAACCCGCTGTGCTACAGTGCTGTCCCCAACATTAAGCCTTTATTTGAGAATGCTGGGCAAGAAAAGTTCTAAAAGTATGTTCTGATGTGAGGGAAGAGAGTAGAACTTTATGTACAGGGGATGCACTGAACCGCCTGGATTTTATCTCTTTTCAGGAATAGTTGCTCAAGAATGGATCTGAGGATTACCATTGTTTGATCATTTTGTATTTCATCAAGGGGGAAAGGGTAGCAATTTGGGGCCAAGGTGAAATAAGGACATGAAAGGACAAAAACAGAAAATTCTCTGTGTCTCTCACAGTCTTTTACATGTGAACATGTATACATGTACACACGTATCTGTTAATTGTAATGCCTCTGAAAAACTCTCCTGTGTTAAAATGTTCTAAATTTCCAGAATGATAAAATTTTTTGTTGTTACCATACTGCTTCATTTTCTGTTCATTCTTAAAGAATATCATGCTTGAATTGAGAACAGAATTAAAAAAGCAAAGGAAGAA